ATTGCTTTGAATGGTTTCAGACATTATAGGATTGTTACGACAGAATGTATGAATAAGATTAGTGGCCAACCTTAAGTGTATCATCGACGTTTTTAGGTGAAAAGTAATTAGCGTTAAATAATATCACGTTTACTTTTTTCAATCACAGATAAGATTAGTAAATACTGCATACACCAACAATTTCAGATGATGAAATTTTTACTATATTTTTGTGCTACTATAAAATGTAAGTAGTCGATTATTTGTAGCTAAATTATTTTAAGAAAAATATTTCAAGTGTGTGTATGAGGAAATTCCTTAACACAGTAGCACTCTGATACTAACACTATGAAGGGTTTTTTTATATAAGTACTACAACTTTCAATAACCAACAGTTTTACAAATTTTCTTTTTCAAGTATAAACTTGTCTTCAAGTAAACAACTATTTTCGATGCAACTATGAGTATCTAAGTTAATTATTTCAGGTATAGTAATGAAATGAGAAGGATAAGAAGATTTTCTAGTTCATAGCTATATTACCAGGTAAATGAAATGTTTAGCTATTCAAATAGACACCGAATTTTTTGGTCAACTATTCACATACTGAACTTTATGTATTATTCGTCGCAATTTCTTCAAAAATGTCTCTTCTTTAAGACAGTTTTATTTGAAAGTATTCATTATAGCTTGATGTTTGCATCCTATTAAGTATCTGAAACTAGTGTACATGATTTCCCATAGTATTTCAGTGAACACTAGCCTATGATAAAAATGGCATTCGAATGTTTATGAATTGAGTTTTATAGCAATCAGATTGAAAGAAATTAAAAGGTGGTGAGAATTGCATTTAGTCAGTTATTTGAAAAAAGCTCTTTTATTTTGAGCTAATTGTAATACTTGTTGTGCTCCTGAAACCAATTAAATAAAATATTTCTAGTTATTGTTAAATTATTTATCCATGTCATGAATTACATTGACAGTGAATAATGAAGCTTCCAGTCTAAAAGTATTTTAGTCAATTATGTTTTAGGTTCGTGGTAGTTATATAGAAATGTTGCTCAAGTGTGGTAAATACTATTAGGTATCTTAAATATTTTAAAGTATCGATAGTATGTACTGCCATATGTGAACTAGTAACACTAAGAGCTAACCAGCACGTTTTCTTCTGGTCACTACTTCACGAAAGATGAAGATAGAGAAAACAGCGAAGTCACTATAATGTATTGTATATTGAGATTGAAATAGTGTGGTTACGCATCTGTTTGTTAGTTTTCCATTTACCTTTTGTTATATCCTAGTGAAGATTAAATTACGGATAACTTTTGAAAGCTATTAAAGGACTAATGTTATATATATATATATATATATATATATATATATATATATATATATATAACTTCATAGATGTCTTTGCCTCATGTTAAAACAAAAATGAGTTAGGGTAAAACTTAAATACAAATTCCAAATTTTATTTAAAATTAGTCTATGAGTTGTTTTATTAATGTGTATTTATAAAAATGAGACTATTTTATCGAACATAATTGTTAATAATAACGTCCAGACTACGTTATGAATCTTACACCCATTTTTTGAAAAATGAGTTCTTAAAACCAGGTTTGTACAAAGAAAAATAACATGATTAATCATAAGATCTTTTATAATTATGATACCCTTTCAGAAAATGTGGGGGGATTTGTAACATGAATATCATACTACAGTAACTATACTTTATTCCCTGAGATACCTTATTCGTGATTTGTTTTGAATGATTCACTTTTTTTCACCTAATACATTTCTAACTGAATATAAACCATGTATTCTGGTACATTTCGCATTTACATTATATTTACAACATGATAATAAACTTCATACACTGAAACATCAAAACATGGGCGTATGTAGTCAGCATTGTGTTAAAGTTTAACAGAAAAAACTTGAAAATGTTTACAACTCAAAAAAATATTCTGGTCTTGTATATTACTATTTTGAACTGGTTGCAAGTACTTAACTTTATTTCTGAGTTAGCTAGTTATAACCATTGCAATAACGCCTTAACGATTAAACCTAGTTTGAACTATTGGGTTCGAAAGAAAGTGGAAATCGATATGTTTTACATGACGGAAACGTTAACAATTTTAACGTTTCAAATCTTAATTTTGTGCGCTAATGTTACATATACAAGCTCTTATCTTACCAAAAATCTATAAGTTAAATTTTTCATACTCAGTAAACTAGTTGCTCAAGCATTATTCTGATCTGTCAAATGTTTAATTTCTGGTATTGGATCAAGGAGATTGTTGAACTTCCACATTTCCATATTCAAAATTATGATGTCTTCTTTAATGGGTACTGACGAAGTCTCATACTAGGATGAAATCACTATGCAATAATTCCGGGTTTTCGATGGTTGTCTAACCTAGATCAGTTTACAATTTGAACAAAATGTTTAACGATTTGCTACTAATACTTCTATGCTTGCAGATTTCTTCAATTCTTTCAACTTTGACAAGCAGACAATTATCTATCAATTTATTTAATTTTCCTTCTAACCTATCGACTGTTACTCAAATATATTTTGACGCCTGGAATTTTCAAACACTGTAATAAAGATTCGTTTTTCTTATTTCCAATAGACTATTTTATTTGTTAAATCAAAATGAAGTATTGTACAGTATGAATAACCAATTGATTAAACAAGGAAATTTCCTATTAAAGTTGTCTTTAACTTCTTCAATGGCGAAATCGGTTTTTTTTGTTACCATAAATATGTGTACAACTGTAAGTCTACCTTTTTCTGACTGATTACTAGAAAAAATCAAGGTAGATCCAAATTCATGATTTTTAAAAAAATGAAATCAAGAGTTTAGACTAATTAAGCCATCTGCTGTAGGCGAGAGTTTGTCAAGTTTGTTGTTCAGACTAATAATTATCTGATTTGAAAAGTGTGGTAACATTTGTTAAGTTATGATTTTAAACTGTACATTCAGTAGATGAATAATCTATAAAGTTTGATCCAGTCGTTAATCACTAAGCTGAGTAAATTTGGCTAGACTCTAATTTAGGGACGACCTTTGAACGAATCTTAAATGACCTTGACAATTATTGGCCAATCAGAAGACAGTTAGTATAAAGTGAAAATACATTATAAGGAAGTAATGATTTACAGTGGATATTCTTCTTTTACATGATTTAAAAACTTGTTAAGCTTTGATAAAGGTTCAGAGGTTCTGAATTCATAATGCATATGGTATAGAAACTCGTCCATAGAATTAGCGGTTGGAATTTAGGTTTAGGGTTAGGTTAGATTAGGGTTAAGGTTAGGTTGGGGTTTAGTGTTAGGGTTAAGGTTAGGGTGGCGAGATTCTAATTTAGGGACCAGCGAATCAGAAGCGTTCGAGCGATTTAAGGTTCACGGAGCCAAGTTCAACACGTGATGCTAATATACGATCGGTTTACAACGGATTTTAGAGGAGAGGTGTTTATTGAGAGGCTACAACCCTAACCCCTAACCCTAACCCTAACTTAACCATAACCCTAAACCTAAACTCTAACCCCTAACCCTATGGACGAGTTTCTATACCATATGCATTATGAATCCAGAACCTCTGAACCTTTATCAAAGCTTAACAAGTTTTTAAATCATGTAAAAGAAGAATATCCACTGTAATTCGTTACTTCCTTATAATATATTTTCACTTTATACTAACTGTCTTCTGATTGTCTAATAATTGAAATTGCTCAAACGCTTCTGATTGGCTCGTCCTTAAATTAGAGTCTCGCCGTAACTTCATATCTATGTATTGTTTATTCCAGCTTGCATTTATAACTATTCACTAAATAAATTGAGAATTTCTTCTTTGTAATCATTTAATGAAGTGTATATTAGAGCAGATATTTTATATAAAACGTCCGAGTCTCTACAGAACTCATACGCTTGAGACAGTTTTCTGTTTCATATGATGACATAACTCTATATTCACTTATAAATAAACGCTTTAATTTGTTTTTTTCTAACTGGTCAACACATAGCAAGTAATATATTACAGTTGGTACTTGCAGTTCAACACTCTTCTGACCATTCAGAAATGATGTTAATAGATTTTTATGTCATTAATTGAACACTGTTTTAAAATCTGTATCAATGCATAAGAGACTTCACTTCATTAGGTATTTGAACTTTATTGAAGTTTCAGCTTGTCCAGGTAATATGAATACGTAATGACAAACTCGGAATGCAATGTCTGAGTAGTGTGCTTAAATATGGTGAGATATGTTTTAATAATTCGATAGTTAACCACAATTTTAAATTGTGTAAAGAATAAAAATAATATATTTGTAAGTATAGTAAATATATTATGAAAGCAGGTAATTTGGTTGATTCGAGAACTGCTTTTAAGTCTTTATGTAGAAATCTGTAAAGGTGAATATTCAGATTATTCAACGTTACCGTCACATTATTCAATAATGAAACTATCCATATTCACATTTCAAAAGTAAAATCATTGTAAATATTGGAATATATATATATATAATTTCTGTATACAATGATAAGTTATCGAATTACAACGTTTCCATTTCACACCACTTATATACACGTACCTCAGTAACTAATAATGTTTATAAATATGGGGATTGAAAACAAGGTGTATCATAGATGTAACTATTATGTACATACCAATTCCTTATATAAATATTTTCAAATCAGGATTATTTTCAACTTAGAAGTATAATTTTCTGACATCTATCAAAATCTTCTTTTAAATGTTAATTAGTTTACTCATAACAAAATGTTTACTTTCAGTTCATAAAATGAGTTCATATTCAATAAACTATAAAAGAGCAAAAAATTATTTGTTTAATTATTTTCTTACAGAACCCAGCCCTCAATTCACATATTATTGTTTCTATTTCTTAAAATTTTTTTTGTGACACCCTTTAATGACATTGTAAATATGATGAATCACTTAATATACTAGGTCAACAGGTTACATTTACTTGGTTACAAAAGTATATAAAGAAAATGAATAGACTTTTAAATCATTCACACATTGAAATTCAAATGGATTTTTCCAATCTTGTACATACATTTCTTTTTCTTTTGTATATATCTAAACAATGTACATCAGTTTGTAAATTATCAAATGATTATAAATATGTAAGTATCATTTATGATAGATCCTATTAATCATTTCTAGTATCATTCAAATATTCAAGAAAGTAAAACTAAACGAAATGTTTTTATAAAACAACTGAAAGTGATACCCTACTACACAGAAACTATTAGACAACATACTCATTTCGAAATAATACGAGTAAGTTATCAAACTATTTCTTATCATTATTATTTGCTTTTTGAAGAGTTTTTTGATTTATTAAAATTCATATATAGATTAGGAGAAATAAGTTTATTCTGTCTAACAACTTTATTCTTCATCTCATTGAAACTATTTTGTTCTCTCGTATTTCTCAATTATTGTAGACAAAAATAATAGAACCTGCTATAAAGATGTGGCAGACACTATTAAAAGTAAAAGCAAGATCTAAACATCTAATTTATTTATCCAGGTAAATAAAACTTGTTTCTACTATTCATTATTATTTATTTACTTATTTAAACCCATGAATATTCGTACAAGAGGGCACTGAACACATATGCGCCACATAAGTCGCTTCATTTGTATGTGGGCTGTGATACTGCCTGGGTGCTCAGACTGAAGCAGGTGGTTTTCTTGGAGGGCCACACCCGGAGCCTTTAACCTAAAAGTCTGATTCACAAGGCAGTGGAGCTACGTCAGGAGATGTAGTCCCGTAGTAGCTAGTGACCAACAATTGGTTCATACGCCATTTGTTCCTTCAGGATCCTGGAGCCCATGTACAACATTAGTTTTGAATCAGGGTTTTCCAACTCTCATAGGTAAACTCTCCGTGTCCACTCATTCGATTCAAATGCCGGACATTCGCTTTTCGTCCTCTCAATTTCGTAAACAGCACGCCCGCCACAAGGAGACAGTGAGTAGGAATTCCTTGGTAATGGCTGTATACGCTTGGCCATGTGAGAGCATTTCGAGGGAGAGAGAGCTGGCTCTCCATATCCTTGGCCTTATCAGGGTATTTGAGGGCTACTATTCATTACTTCTTCATATTAATTTATTAAACTCTTATTTTATTTATATATATAGTAATAATTTCAAGGATTGCATTAAGTGTATGCTAGTTGAATAACGGAATGTTAATAATTCAATAAAACTTATTAATATTGTTGATTTTCACTAAAGAACATTTTGATATGAAGAAAAAAAACTTTGAAGATGAAAGAGAATTATGCATTACTTTTTATTTCTTCAAGTATTAATTAGAAAAGTAGATCTATAAAAAGTTCAGATCTTAAATTCGACAAACATTCCAAAGTATTTTACGAAATGTGATTACTTGAGTATTGAAAACTTGAATCCATTGGGTTATGACAAAAAAACATAATACTAATTGAAGTTATTGTGAATTGAACTGACGTAAGATAACAATAAATAATAACAACTAGCCTTACATATCTATAATTATCTTATGTTGCATTTTTAATCACCTAATGACTTATTTCGTATTAAAATCACCATGAATGTTAAACTAAGCTATAGATCGTAGTTAAAATACACAAGATTAGATGTAAACAATACTGTTTCAAGAAGTGTCTTAGTGTTATTGATACTTTCTAAATCTATTGATGTCACACCACCATTGAAAACCTGGAAGCACTCGATGGTCGTTTCGATCCCGTCTCAGTGGTTCAAAGATTAACCGTCTTCACGCGAGACCGAAGGTCCTGGGTTCGAATCCCGTGGATGAGCACTGTTGAGGAGTCCCACAATATGACGAAACAGTCGTCCAGTGCTCCCAGGTTTTTAATGGTGGTATAAAATCTATCGATCATGATCCCAATCAAAATGTTACCCATCTCCACAACCCCATACTGTTAACTTTCTAAATCAGAGTAATTTATTGTTAATAACATTGTATTTTTTGTTTTACTAAAGAAGTTGTATAAATCATTCTAAAGACGCAAAGATACTTCCTAATGGTACGCGGTTTTATTACTGTAGAGAAGGATGCAAGGAGGTATCAGAATGTTATCATGGTGTTATTCCAGAAATGTACTTAGATGTAAGTGAATTTCATTCAGTGATAAAATTGCAAACATTTCAAGCTTTCTGAAAAGAACTTATCCGTTTGTCTATTTTATTCTGAAGAATATTTGGTGTTTTTTTTATCCTTTATTGTAAAATTTACAAATAATTCACTTTATTTCGATTAGTTTTAATACTTCGAATCTATAAAGGTAGAAAATTTCGAACATTGATGACATCAAGATAGACATTATTATTTGCAATTTTACACTGTGAAGATTCTACTGAGCAGAAAGAAATTTTAGAAGAAATGATTCTCTGACATCAGCACAAAATTGTCATCGTTTATATGGAAGTCAAAGTGCATTTCTAAGCAAAATAAATCTGAGTAGAATAATGACAAAACAAAATAGATAAAAATAAATTCAATCTTTAGTTTACCATAGATATTATCTATAATATAACCATCGTTAATAAAGCGATTCCTATTTGGTTTTATTATCAACCATTCAACAGCACAAACAATTTCCTTTCTATTTTAAAGGTGATTTTCCAGAATACTCAACAAATTGCCAATGCAGCTACTCAATAATAAGAACTGAAAGCTAATCATTTAATATATAACCTACTGATAAACAATCAAACCATTAATTATATTAATAATGTGCAATGAACATTAGGGTTTATTCATGAGAATAATTTAATTTGAAATTCTTGAAATGGTTTGAGAAAATAGAGTTGTTGTCTACTGCAGGTTTCATTACTTGAAGCTTCAATTAATTATTCTCTGTAGAAGAATATGTAAATCAATTATCAGGTATTTTAGAAAAGCAAGATTTGTATTTTTCATTTTTATTACACTACTCACTAAATTACTTATAATTTATTATTTATAACTAGTACTGCCATACATATGTACATGGACAACCCAAAATAAGTGGACGTCGTGGAAAAGGCATAAAGTTTCATCACTTATTATATATTGTTGATTCCCAGACAATTTCCCTTTGTCGAAGTGGAAACACTGTGGGTTATGCACAGTTTTGCAGGTTGGATGGACTAACAGACAGGTTAGTTGATTTAAGACAAACAAACTTGGAAGAATCATATTTGTCTGTATTGTGTTTCTTTACTAATTAGTAGAAACAAAATTTATAAACTTTATAATTAGCACAAGTTCTAGTTGTCTATGCAATATGTACTGGATGTTATGACGTGAAATCAATTTTGTAAATTATGTAGATACGGGACGCTACTTCTATAATGTATGTTTAGAAATACGAATTGATTGTTTCTCACTTAATATACATTTCAAGAATCACTAAACATTTATTCAAAATACATTTATGGTTAATGTCCTAAAAAGGTGCGATGTTTGTGGAATAAGATTTTGTCTAATCATTCTGTCATAGGACGAATGTTATTTAATTTATGACTTTATATTTCAAACATTTAAATGTAGTCTCCAGTCAGAAATCATCTAACCTGAAAACTCCATAGGATTAAGAATAACCATAAATTGAGTTTATTCTTACTTAAAACTTCCTAAGCTTATCTTGAACGAGTCACTAAACTTCCAGGTTGAAAATAATTGTTGATAGTAATGATGATTTTTAGACATGTTTTTCTTCAAAACATATGAGATGGTACAGTAAAGTTTGCACTGGTGCTGCTTCACTCATTCACTATACTCCTTTAAATGCTGACTTCAGTGTAAGTTCTTCCTTTTCCTTCTTTATTTATTATTTCTTACACTTGGATTTTCATCGCGTTTGATATAACAGTCCTTTTTAAATTTTATTTGATTGATTTCTTCTCTTGTTGGTGCCAGGTTCAATGTTGATGTTGACTAGCTGTTATGTTAAACTATTGACGACTGGTAACTAGTTGGAGTGTAATTTACGATTTTAAACAGTTCAGTAGTAATTTCATTTGTTTCATTTTGTAGGCCAATAGCTGGCTACACAAATCTCTGCCCGAATAACATAGAACTTGGTTATGAAAATATTAGACTGGCTATTTCAACTATGGCACACGAATTGGGCCACGTTTTGGTAATCTGCATTGATTTATTTTTAAAATAAGAATAAATATAGTTTTCTAAACTGATAACATATAAATGTGTATTTAGTCACTATTGTAGCTAATCCTATATTGATGGTCAAACACATAACTAGCAATTAATGACTACCGGAACAGATATTTCAAGTTAAATCTTCAAATTTATTCATTATGTCTGAGTAGAATTTAAGGAAATTTAATCATCAATTTTGAATTATGATAACGAAATGTTATCATAACCCCAGAGGGGCTCCAGATGGAGTTTGAACAAGTTTGAGAGATTTATCACAAATTAATACCATATAATCGTTTCTTAGGATATCGGTGCTAAAAACGTAATACTTTTATAATAGTATATTAAATTTATTTTCATTATACTAGTTAATGCTACATTTGATGATAGGCTTTTAATATGGGAACTCACATTTTTTCTAGTATCCTCTTATATTTTACTAATCTAATCAGTTTTCATTTATATTTTAAAAAGGGTTTCAACTCGGAAGCTTTCAGATATATGAGAGACGAGCGTGGTGAACCAAGAACGATGCGTGAACCTGCTACGAATGAGCCTATTTTAACGGATTCACTAGGATACAGAATTCCAGAGTGAGAAATAATTGTTTTGATGTGAAATATGGGTTATTAAAACTTCATTATTGCATTTAGTTTGAAATGATAAATTTGACAGAATCTCGAATCTTAGAGTGTGATCCATCGAAATATAATTTGATCCAATAAGCTTGACTTCTTAACAGACTGAAGTTGAAATTTTGTGTGAATTTTAAAAAAAAGTTTTATATTGCCTATGATCTTCCACAATAGACACAGCAAATAAAAATAATATTCCATTATATAATGAATCCTATAAAGTACAGTTAATTTAGATGAACGGTTACACTAACGCCAGTTATAACTAAGAACAAAAAATAATATTGAACTATCCTAGATTCATACTTTGTTTTGTTAACTAGATAAAAAACAAACATGTTTGACAACTATTATCATCCATAAGGTTAATATGTATGGTAATATATATACACATTCCCAGTAAACCACATGTTAAAATTATTATCTAGACATATCCTAGGTAAATTAAATTAAAAGCCATATTACTTTACAGTAAGGCTTACTACTTATCCAATCATTAAGACAATGTAGTAGTTAAGATACATATAGTATAGATGTTTTGTTAAGTCTAACCATGCTTCTTATTTCACTCTCAAAGATACAAAATTACTGCGATATCATATGGCCTTGATGAACTGTATGATCTTGAAAAAAGTGTTTAGAAGTTATAATAATTGATCCAAATGTCATCGTAAACGAAATATTTTTGTATTATTGTTTTGAAACGTTTAGCGAATCAGTTTTAAGCAATGTTACTCGTATTTGGAAGTCTGCTAAAACAACAGTTTATCGACATTTGACTGCGATTAAAACACCAATGATGCTGGTGAGTTTGTTTTTAATTGCATATATAAACGTCTGCTATGTTGAAGAAATTGAGTAACGTTAATTTTATGTCGAGTGCTTAAAAATAGTCTTGAATGGTAGAGATAATGTTGAACAAATTAACGGTTAACGGACGTATTTGAACTGATTATCTATGTGCTACCAGCTTACTAAGTCTTGATCTTCACATGATGACTTGATTTACATTTTATTTCAGTTGACACTTTTCTGTTATCTTTTCTTGTGAAGGAGAGTTTATCATGTAAGTTCCTTTTATCAGACTAATTTTCAATATGAGTTGCCAATCACTAATGATAATCGTGCGAAATTGAAATCTGGTTATTACTTGAATCTTTTAGTTCAGTTTGTAGAGGAGAGGATGAATACAGGGAAGGCTATAGAAACCCAGATTTCATTTTGATTCCATCTTCTTTGTCAGTTATAACCATTCGAAAATGAAGAGGCACTGGAAGCACATCTTGCTAACTAATAGAAACAGAATACTCCTTTAGTTTAATGATGTTGTAGATGAGATAGTATTGGACAGATAATTACAGTCACTAGATTGTTCATCTAATAATACCAATTACTATGTAGAAAAACAAACTGAATTGTATTGATTTTCTGAGGAGTTTATGAATGTTTCTGTTTCTTGCGAGTAAAATATGCTAACATAGATATTTTGAATTGGCTTTAATTGAATCTGACTAATAAGGATAAAACAGACATTCAGGTTTGTTGTTTGTTCAGAAAGCTATCACAAAACTAATAAATAAATCGGATTTAAAAGTAACGGTAACGGTTAAAATCAATCAATCAATCATTCAAATATATTTGTGTCATCCGATTGAATATGTAATGTTAAAAAGCTTAAAAAACTCATTTCAGTTAGTGTGACAGATTCTTAGTAAATATGGATGAATTATAAGTATACTTTTGATTGGATAAGAATAGGATGTGAGCATTTTTAATTGTTCTCGTGTGCAGTCTAAATGCAAAATTGGTAAGTTGAAAAAGAAAGATGATGGAATGTGTAGATTTTCTAATGGTTTGAATAACCATAAGGTAACAGATAGTTTTTAGAATGTTTTCTATAATGGTTACTAACACAAATTCTGTCTTTTAAAATTCATTCACAGTGGTGAACCTCTAAAATGCAATGCTACATCTAGCAGTATGTGTACAAAGCCTATACTTAGGCACACAACTTCGTGTATAGTCGTTTCTATTCTATGATCTGAGAATTCTTACGTTTTGCGTACGCTGTTTTATACAGATGCTACATGAAATATTGTTCACCAGATCTCAAGAACTTTCTTTCTTGACTGTTACCAATTACTGGAGATGTGACTAAGTCATCGGACGCTAGTTAGACTTAGGAAAGATATCATTTTTTTGTTTTTACTGAATGACCAGTTCTTGTGTTGTAAACATAATTAGATTATAACAGTTTGTCTCGAACTGTGTATAAAACTTAATGTAACCTTATTGTAGAACCCTACCTGAGATGATAGGTTTTAGAAATGTTTTATCACTGGTTATAACCTTTACTTTCTTGTAATTGGCAGCAAACTCATGTACCAAAAATAAGCAATCATGTTCCATTTATTATGATGACATCTCGAAATTACGAGTATAATGTTGGATAAGATCGTTTTAAGAATATATTATAAAATTTATTTCATGTCAGATTCGCTTTGAACAAGTGAAAAGCACAACAGGCATTTTAGTGTGTTTATTTTAAATAAGTGTAAAGAATTTATGCCCAAATTTTTTCCACCAACAAAGTTTTTGACGTCTTGAATAACTAATCTGTGTGATCCGAAGATATTCTAAGCGGGAAAATTCCCATGTACCAAACCTAAGTTTTAAATAGACCTAAATATTTCGAAGATTTAGTTACATATTTCACTGTCATTAAGATAAATATCCTTTAAGAACAAACAATACGGTACAGTTTATTTTTTAAAACTTAGATAATTTGAGAGCTGATATACACCATTAGGAAATTAAAATTGTTGGCTTATTTCTTGTTTCAGAACATTTAGCGATATATTTTCTTTCTTATTTGAAAAACTGCTTACTCGCGATTTCAAAGAGTTCAATTTGTGAATCTCAAATGGTTTACTAGTCTTATTTTCACGTGGTGTTGTTTTACTTGTATCTTCCCACTGTTATTTAGGACTGCAATTGATCATTCTCATGTTGTCATATGTGCATCCTGTGAGAATTGCCTCGATATAGCCAGGGTGAACATCAACTCTGGGATGCAGGTGCATCCAACTGACGAGTCCCAAAGAGGACGAAACGCGCGTCCTGGATCCCACTGTTAGCCACTATCCATCTTTGCTTACTAGTCTTACGTTGATGATAAGATTATAACATATTATGAATTAATATATTCATAACAGTGTGTCATTTATTTATTGTTAAGAAGTAACTGACGGTAAAATATCTTTTCCGAACCATTTTAAACTTAGAAAATGGCGAAAGAATACTTCAACTGTCACGAACTTGACGGTGTTGAACTTGATAACAACGATCAAGTGTATGCTAGAGGTCATCTTGAAAAAAGGCTAATTGATGTGAGTGCTTTGTGTGTAGCTTGATTTTTATATCATTATTTTATGAAAATATTTCTGATTTTTTAACAGGTGACAATAAAATAACACCATAATCATATGATCACCAGTGACTAGTTTGAAGAGAGGATCGCCTGAACGTTTGTGAGAAGCTATAACCAACGAAGTTTAATCACATGGAATGTAAAATAGTTTCCATCAGCTACACTGAAAAATGATCAACGATAAACAAATTGAAGTTAAACATTTAAACTACCGAATACCGATTCAGTGGTCTAATGTTTAAGCTCTCCCTGTGGGACCTGAGTGTCCTAAATTCAATCTCCAACAGAGTCGTGGGTATGCACTGCTGAGTAGTCCCTAGAATGTGATAACAACTTAATACTCCTTGATTTTCACTGAATATTTGATAAAAAGTCAATCAGTGATTTAGAATGCAAAACATGGCAAATAGTGGTCATAACAACAGTATCACCTAGTGAGTCTAAAATTATAGAAAGTAGTGCTGAAGGGTAGCTTCAGTTGTCTTCCCTACTTTATTCAATCTATTTGATTTCTGCATAAAACGTCGTCTTGATTATCAATATTTAATAAGCTATTATTTATTCTGCTATTTAATTGGCGTTCTACTGATCCTTAGTAGACTAACAAATGAACTCAAACTTGTGCTACTCTGCATAATGAATACATAAATTGATCAAAATGTATACAAATATTGGTTTTGAAGAACCTATCTAATCCTCTTCAATCTACTCTTCCTTTTTACCAATACAATTACCTCCCCTTCCTTCCATTGGTCAGAGTAGTACTAGAAGCCTTTAAAAGTTAGGACATTAAACTCTTTGGTTGTTCTAGGATTTTCTACAGTCGTCCAAACAGATGGTTGATTTAGATCCAGTTTTTCAGTCACGAGAGACCGCACTTATTCACTGTTTTGATTGACACAAGAAGTTTATGACTGTCACGAATTCGGACCATCATTGCAAGATTCAAGTCTCCTAACGAAAAGCGTGACCCACTTAAATATAGGTGTTATCTTCAATTCCATGTTTACACGAATAAACTTCAAAACTTTACGAATTTCTGAACTGTAGATGCAAGAAAGTATTAAATTAATAATATAACTTTTCTATATACAGAATGAATTAATGACTCCTCTCCTTTCATCACGTTCATATATATCGAAAATCACACTTGGATTTTTCGAAGACACTGGGTAGGTCTAAATTTTTGATTTTACATTTAAATAATATATGCTAAATCTTGGATTTTCAGATGCCTTAAAAGCTATAAGTTAAGTATTTTTTCATAACACTAGTTAAAAATTTGAGAAAACAGTAAATGCCTCTTGTATTTACTAGTCTGAACTATGAATTTAGGCAACTGAAATATAGATTTCAGAATGTTATGTTCTCAGTGTCATAAATACCTCTCTCTCAAGCAAACAACAGGAGGTAGAATATTATCCACAGTAATTTCTAATCTATGAAACGAATTATCATAAATTCGGTCTCTTTAAATTAGTAATTTTATAAGCCCCATGGATGGTTCACTAATTGCGTGAACCAATCTACAAAAGCTATTATCTCCAAATGTATTTAAGCAAGCTTTCAATCGTATTGGACTAAAACGGCTACACATTAAATCAGTTTGAATTAAGCGGACTGTTTGCATACAGCTATTCTAATCCATGAAAACTTTAACTTACGTACAACTATGGGAGTTACTGATAATTTCGGTTATTCACTATACCTCTCATTACTACGATTGTATCCATGTTTTAGCCCGTAATTCGATCACCATATTAAATAACCTATCCTATACTTTAAGATTCGCTTCATAGAATTTTATTTGTTTTCAAAATGCGAACTGGTCATATGAAGAAGAAATGTGAAGTTTTCTTTTTACTAAAAGGTTACTAAAGGTTAAATACTAGTAATATTACTTTTGAGAATGTTTTGAGCCTACTCAATTCCCAATGAAATGCTAAAGTCAATTTAATATTTTTACCAGTATGGGGTTATGGAGATTATTAAGTTATTGATTGAGATCTTGAACAGGTTGATGTTAGACCGACTTTCTCGTTTTCATTCCATGAGTGTTAAATAAACTTATTACTTTTATCTCTTTTACATTTTCGTTGTGTTACTTTCAAAGATACATTACTTTAATTTCGTAATCATTTCTTTATTAACTTAGATGGTACCGTGTGGATTATTCAAAAGCTAATCCAATGGGATATGGTAAACATCTTGGTTGTAATTTCGTTATGAAAAGTTGTTATGAGTATATGCAAATTCAACGAGAAAGGTAATAAACTTATTTTTGAATGCAATCTTTTATGTAAGACGATTGTATAACTGATATAATGTGTTTATTTTAACTATTTCACTAATACACTATTAATTCAAAAGTAATGGCTTTCATCCATTACTGAGTCGTTTTAATTGTTTGAACAGTATTCATTTGAGGAAGGCAAGTGCTGTAAGTAACAAAATATACGTTATAAAAACCAACATACCTTACGGTTGTTCTCTTTCACTGTCATGGTCGAAAGCATTGAAAAATCCGTTTTTATATTGATGCTAAACTAATAGCACCGAGAAATCGTTGTTCATTTTCTGATCGAACAAGTCCGAAAAATTTTGAGGTAACACAGGCGTTCACTAAATAATCAACCGAAAAGTTTTCTTTCATTTTAAAAATAGGTTTAACTAAAGGTACTTCAATAATACAGCGAATGCTATAACAAATGCTAAATTGTTACATGAACTAAACAGCATGTGAATTATTGGTAATCTACTATAACTGTTTGTTTTTATGATTTCAACACATTAAAAAAGTACAATTTTAAATTTTTATTCTTTTAGAAGACAAAGTTTTTACCCATACTGTGATCAAATAAGCTTCAGTAACACTCTCTGTCTAAAGCATGAAAATGCATATGGTTTCTGCGATCTGAAGCAATATTATTCGCCTCTGCCACTTGAATTTCAGTACTTTGATAATCCAAGACTTGGTGCAGCTGACCGTTACCGAGATTATTGTCCAGCCTATGTGGTTAAGTGATTTATATTCTTAATTATCATCATAATAAAATAACTGTTTCTAACGTTTGGGTATAGTACTTACACATACCTTCAATACAAGCTATTAATTTAGATGTAAGGTCAGAACTGCTGGTATCATAGCACTATTTATTCCTCATCTTCATTAGAAAGGATCCATTTTTAGTTTCTAGTTGCAGACCTGGATTATATCAAAACAACCATAGTAAGGCATTTGGTCGAGTTAGTAAAAAACATACTGATTTAAAATGCTTCATAAAAAGAATTCTCAAATAGAGACTATTCATCTCTGAATCATCCTCTATATAATGGGATTTACTAACTTAAAACTAGTCTGCTTAAGCAAAGTATAAACAATAAATTGAGTAAATTTACTTTGTACTTAAGATCTGAAATACTTAAATATCAGGATTAAAAATACTGTTGGTCAATAGCCAATGTGAGCACTTATTGGCAGAGCGTAAGAATAGATTGAATAGAATGTTACAATTAATACAATATTTAAACAAAACGTCTGAAGAATCAGCTTGAATAGTAATAAGACTACTGAAAACAGCCAAAGAAACATTGGGGTTTCACGAACATTCATTGTTACATTTTCGAAAATTGAAAACGAAAATAATAAATGAGGTTACTGTCAAAATGACCGCCATTTGTTCATATTAACTTGAAGATAGTAATGTGGTGTGTGCTACTTACATTGACATAAGTAGTATATGATGTTAGTCGTGAACAGAACGGCTGGCAGCAGAGAGACAAGAGGATCGAACAGTAAAGAATCGAAACGGAATGCAATTTGTATGAAAATTCAAGAACAATGAAGTCTGAGTCATTTTGAGATAAGTGGTGGACATTTTACAAATTAAGCATTTACTTTATGATTGTCAGATTTTATTAACAAGTCCTGTAATTTTTTGTTAAATACATTCGATCGTCCCCACTGGTGTTCCTGTTCACTACAGTAGCATTTCCAAGATAGGCGATAGTACGATGAACAAAACTTTAACCAAAGTCTGTAATAAGGCATTTTTTCTGGAATTTTAGCCATTTACTGGGACGAGAAATATTTATTCATACTGCAATACTCCCGAAAAACAGTCTGAAGTTCGTAAGTTATAATAAATTATCGTGTTTGATATTTTAAAGACTAATAACAAAAACTATACATACTGTGTAGTTGACGAACTTATTTTTAGTGAAATTTCAGAATTTTCAATATTTTCTAGTTTTACATTAGTTTCGACACATTAACAAGTAAAGCGGTTATTATATCGATTAACTTTGATCCACTTATTTGAGTTATAGCTAGACACTTTTTACTTGAAGATAGTTTTTATTAAAAATGAAAATGATGATTACTTAAAACTATGGAGAATAAGAAAATTATTTCACTGTAGATTAAGATCCGTCATCACAACCCTAAACCCATAACTTAAATATTTTGCTTTAAGCACTGAATTCTAATTTAATAATCTTTATATTCAGTGGGACTTATTTTAAAGTGTACCAGTATCCTGGTCCATTGTTAATTATTAATTGCTATCTCTTTTGATGAAGAACACTCTTACAAATTGTTTCTCATTTGAACTCCAGAAAATCAATATAAAAGCTAGTTAATAGTGAGCATATGATAATAACTCTAGTTTTGTGAAAAGAATGTCATGTAAATATGATCTTAAAACTTAATATTTAAAAAAATCGTTATGTACCAAACTCAATAAAATAAAAGTTAGTAATAAACTTACAAATCATCACTAAGATTCTAGAACTTTGAGAATAGACAGTCGTTTCATAATATAATAAGACAAATCTCTACCATTTCATTTTACTTTCTGTAACAATATAAATCCTGCATTAAATTGAAAATCTAATCCATATTTATTATGGATGATGCAAATTGTTTTGGATTTCTTTTAAAGACGAAAACAAAAACTACATGCTTCATTACTTTGGTAAATCTTCTGTGTGCATAAACCATGACAGTACCAGACACTGGCAAGTGTCTAAACAACATGAAATTTTCGAGGAAACTTCACCCAAATCTTCATGCATGAGTGTAAGTATTAAATTACACAGATAAAATATGATTATTGCAAAAGAAAGTAACTGTTTTTTTTCTTAATTTTTTCCGAAAAACATTCTGATTTGGTTCTGTTTTGTTCCTTTGATGAATATCTAATTGGTTGATTTTGTATGAATATACATTTTGGTTTAGAAATTATATACAATTTTTTTAAAATCAGGTTTTGTGATTATTAACGGGATAAAAATAAAGGGACACTATTGTTTGCTTTTTTTAATTTAACGACTAAACTACAAAGAATTTTGTTTGTAAAAGATGTATTGTATTTCTTCATTTCATACTGGAAAAACCAAAAAGAAAACCATTGAGATCAATATAGAATGCAGCTATTCATTTTGACATATCATGAATGAATACAAAATTTAATAGTTGATGAAGCATCTCTCTTCAAAATGTTTTGTTGAATTTTCCAATGCGCTATCTTTAATACCATCCATTAGGTTATCTAACAGAAGTGATTCATAAGTTATTCAATCTTTGGTTAGATTTTCCAAATATTTGAAATCATTTTATGATAAATGTGTTATAAATCTTGTTCAATTGTAAACTGCATTACAAAGTTATTTAGATATGAACATGTAACTATTTCCTATACACATTATAATGTACATTATCTTGTACAAATGCAGTTAATAAAATTCATGCTTTCAATCAAATATATTAACCGGTTAATAGGTATCCTTACTAAAATTTGACTTGATAATTTCGAATAAATCGAGCATTCAGTAGATTGTTATAAATAAATTAATATTTTTGTACTATCCCAATAGGTAAAAAATTAGATTTTCTGACGTTTCGCGACTCGGTGTAAGCCACTCCTTCAGAGAGTGAATAACCAAATAGAAATCCTTCCAAGCTACTATTTATTACCTGAAGAAGTGACTTACGCTAAGTTACGAAATGTTGGAAAATCTAATTTTCTTACTCATCGGGATACTAAAAACATATTAATTTATTTATAATAAATGGTTACTTTTTCAAAAGAAAATGCAATTGATATCTGTTTATACACTTCATGCCATAAAAAGAAATGTTTTATATAATTAAAATAACCCATAGTGTCATTGAATAAAGAAAAGAGAATTCAGCTAGGAAAATTTTCTTTTCGACGAAATCATTTACTTAAGCTGTACATTCGATTATATATTGTTATCTGGAAAATATATATCTATAGGGGGTTAGAAAAGATTACATCATTAATTGATTCCAGACTAAACCACAAATGAGGTTACGTACTAATCAAGGGGTTAGGAGGAAAAGCGTTTATGGGTCAGACAATAGTCCAATTGACCGATATAAAGAAAAACGACAAACATAAAAGTCATAATAATAAAAACTGAATAATAATCGAGAAAACTTGTTTAAAAGTAATAATAATAACTGGAGTTTAAAATTACGAAACAATAATTGAAAAATTCAAAAAATTCATTGATAATCAAATAAAAGTGCAGAAAAAAATACAGAAGAAAAAAGCCCAAAACATACCCATTAAGGGAACTAAGGCCAAGGAAAGATGAAAGGTTGGACGAATTGTTTCTGCACGGAAAGTTCAGGCTTGAGTTCGCTGATTGTCCACGCCTCAGCAGTGCACAAAATATTGATTCGACACCCTTTCGATTCAGTTCCTTTGACTCTGTAAATTACTTTAAAAGAAGACTCTTTTGGTACGATGTATTCACAGTTAATTAAATGCTCCTGTATAAAACTAGTAATTGTTTTACATTCTCCTTTTAAAAGCCAACCCGGATAGTGTTCCGAGATGTGTTTGGACAGTGATCGTTTTATGCGGCCTATGTAACGTGCCCCACATGAGCGGAAGTTTGTCCTTAACACATCATAGAATAGTAGGCCGGCTAGAGAAAACAATTCGGAGCTTGGTTGCGTAGAACGTCTTATTCAACGATTTCGGAATCCGTTTATTTAAGATTTCAGCAGCCTTGTCTTCTTTAAATTTCATATTCATAGTGTTTTGTATTATTTTCTAAAAATCAATATCATACTTCCTTACAAACTTACATGAATCACCAATTAATTTATATGTTATATGGTTTATTTACTTTTCTCTTACATAGCATATATGTTCTGAGATTGAAGGATTGATTTTGATTCTTGAAAATAAAGAACTCGTTTGTCCTATTAAAGGTAAATACATTGATTTCAGTCTAAGAGGAAAGTACTTCGATATTAACGGTTCAATCATTTGTCCACCATGTAGAGATATTTGCAAAGTACGTTGTTTTAAATTTTTAGTTTTATCGTATAATAAATGATAACTAATACAAATGAACATGTACAAAAATACCATTTTAAATACGTTTCTTAGTCCACAATCTCAGTTATTCGAATCTCGTAAATTAATTTGTAGAACACGAAAATATATGGAATTGATTGAATGAAAGATATCGCTATTCAAGAATTATGTTTATTATACGAAACTGTTAAAGCAAATATATTTAATTAACAAGTGGCAAATCTGTACCCGGCGAAAAATGCATTTTTTAACTGACCACTGGATATAAATATTTTTTTCGTGTGAACCTGAGTTGATACAATTTTGATATTATCCAATTCTTTATGACATTCTAACAATGTAATCTAGATGGTTACTGATATGTATTCAAAAACTCCTTCAATTAAATATCTATCATTCAATATTGTACTACATGTAGGAAGTATTACATGAAAGTGAATTTTCCCGAACTAAACACTTTTTTGTAGGATTCAATAGTCTGTGAAGTTTAAAAGATACCAGTATTTGAACAGATGTCATAGCTGATCATTATATCATATAGCAAATGCTTCGAAGTAGAAAGTTTGAAGCATTGACCAAGCGTCCCACTGAAAGTGTGCAAGATGAAAACTGACTTTTAAACGGCGATTATTTCATAAAATAAAATATAGATTATAAATTTCACTTCATATTCCTATAGATAAAACAAATAGAACTATTCATATTGTTTTCTTTTTATCTACAATGAATTGATTTACAATATCCATATATGATCATATCACTGAAGGTTTTAATAGTATTTGTATTGAACTGCTTTTGGTGGAGTTTTGTTCTCTGAGCTGGATGGTTTGGTCGTGGAGCTTTCGTCGTTCTTCTGAACGACATCATCAGCACAAACTTCAGATAGAAGTGAAGTGTTCGAATTTCTCCATATGTGTTTCACAGCTTGTTCTGTGCACCTCGATGTTGATTGGTTCTTATTGGCCAATCAACATCGAGGTGCACAGAACAAGCTGTGAAACACATATGGAGAAATTCGAACACTTCACTTCTATCTGAAGTTTGTGCTGATGATGTCGTTCAGAAGAACGACGAAAGCTCCACGACCAAACCATCCAGCTCAGAGAACAAAACTCCACCAAAATCATCCACCTGAGCTACAAATCTCCAACATTTAACTGCTTATCAAACAGTTAAAAGTTAAACTCATAATAAACTAACATTAGACAATCATCTTTACTTTTTAAAGTAAATATGTTTTAATAAATTACTAGTATTAATAATTGTCGAGGAATATTATATCATTTATGTTTTTTATTTTACTTATATCTAGAAATGTCCAAGTGGCTGATGTTGAACGGACCATTCAGTGGATAATAATTGTGATGAAATATTTCACAGTTTATATCATAAAGTATATCGTAAATAAAAGTGAATTATTTATGGGTAAATTCTTGACAATTAAAGATAATTATTGGTAGAAATCAAATAAATTTATTGATTCAATCATGCAAGTGAACATTTTTAAACTATTATCCCTCTTATCATACATTGTGTGTCACGAAAAAGTTTCTTTTATAAAATTATTCACTATCCGTTGGTTTTTTTCATTAACAGTTGCTATTGAATCTAATGTGAACTTAATCTATATCCTCTTTATAGGTTGATATATTTCATAGGGAAAGCTAGACTGAATTTTTTAAAATGAACATTAGAATAATCGTTTGAATAAGTGACAAGTAATCTGATATCCACTATTTACTTATTAGTACAGTTGCAACTAAGGCATACAGTATCAGACACTGGTAAGATTGTAAATAGCAAATTATCATCTGATTATATCATCGTCTTATTCATTACATACCACAGACAACTTTTATACAAAAGGACAAACGGCAATTTTAGATTCATCTTTTGATCTGTTTCAACTATATGTTCAGCAATGAATATAATATTTAAAATTCCAGAAGTAATTATTTTATTTTGAATTTCAATCAGAGATATTGTCTAAGACGGACTACTTTGACTCATACTTGCCATGCAAACAGCATATTGTGGTCCTTAAAAATGTTTATTATGATCACTATTCTTTTCGCTGTAAAGTGTACCTTAATATCTTTTTAGTACTATTGCGTATTATGTTAACATAATTGCATACAAAACCTTTCTATTTTACACAGAAATGAACGTGTCAAACAAATAAAAAACACTAACACTTCGGTGTGCCACAGCATTTGAAGTATAAAGTAAACATGTAATCATTTGCTAGAAGAATCAGTAACTTTAATAATTCGGTTGATTTTACAAAACATTTTATTCCATTTTTGTTCAGGATGATGTGTTCTCAATGATACTGTTTTCACACAAGTATGTGTTTTCCAATCCAATACCTAATATCATTGTGACGGCCTAGTGTAAACAAAGTTATTTCTTTGTTTTGATACTGTTCCTGGTGATCTATGACGTTCAATAAGGGATAGTCTGGCCACTCGACTGCTGTGTGTGGTGATTGATATCACACCCTAGAAACATGCTCTACTTCAGTTTTCTTGATGATAGCCCGAGTATTATATATCTGTTTTCCAGACTATCGTGTGGTATCAGGGAGCATCTGTGTCTGTGGTTAAAGCGGCAAAATGAGAGTTAAGGGTTTCAACCATTTCTTAGTTGGTAAGACGACTGTTGTCATACTTTACAGCACAGGCTCTGTCGTTCGTAGTTTTCCATTTGGTCATAGACTTGTAGACTGTATATTAGTGAACAATTTAGTTGTAGACCACCTCCTGTAACGTTGTACTTTGACACCTCAACTAACCAGGTAGGAGCTGTTGTCAAAAACTTTTAGGACGATTTTGCATTTATATCAGGTATTCTTTTTGTCAGAAAAATCGTTCTGTACCTCAATTCAATCAGGAACATCTTTTTCCAGATGTGTTTCTATCCTTATAGTTATTATTCAGGATAACCGCAAAAATAATATATCTCACCATCAGCAAGTGACCATCAAGTGTTGGTATCAACTTTTATGGTCATGAAACGTGTACAATGAGCACCTTCATGATCGTGTAGTTTTATCAACGGTATGAAAGTCAGGGGGCATCCACTGAGGTGCCTGGACAGTAACCACACTAAGTTTATTTGTAGGTTGCATTATGTTAGGATTATCACAGTTTATTGTTTAGTGAGTACTTTCACACCTACAAGGTAGAATGTGATGGTTATTTATCTGACATGGACCTCTCTTAATATTTTATATAAGCCACCAACGGTCAACACTAACTAGTTTCTTTCTCCTGATTATACTGATTAGAACATATTTATTTCCTTGATAGTTAATGTCGCAACTGTTAACTTAACACCTAATTTTTAGAATCGTTCAGTAAAGGAGGAGTATCATCTACTTCTTCTAAATCAACCAAAAGGTCGAAATCTGTAATCCTTATGTCTGACTAATCAGTACTTGACAAAGTCAACCCTTTATCTTCTAAACTCTTCGCCTCTTATCTACAAATATCACTATCACTGTCTAATTCTAGAATATTCACCTTGGAAAAAACCGGATAAATAAACATGCTCACTCTTATTCGGATCTAGCTATAGTAACGATGCAACATAGTCTATCAATTTAAGCAAAAATATTAGCCTATTGATTCCAAATAAAAACATGAAGGACACTCTGTACCTAACACCTTGCCAATGTTCTAAAAGATGTGAAGCGATAAGATCTCATGGTCCAGTTACAGCTAAAAAAATACCTGGGACAATTCTCAATAATGTACGGAATGTGATGTGAATACACAAACGACAGATCACTTTATAGACCTTGATGAGTTTAGAGGTCATAAATTTATAAATGAGATACGGACTTCAAATAACACCAGAAAACACAATGACATTTCTAAGTCTAATCCAGATTGCTTGGGTAGTAATATGCTGGAAGTTGAGCCATATATTGACACAACCAGCTTTACCTAATCAAGTAACAATTAGTCCACTGCTAATCACTGATATTCTATCACAACACCAGTAATATCTTCAAAACAGCCGCAAGTTTATAATAATGGAGACCTCAGTTTTTTAAACATCTGTACAAACCCGTCCGTAGACGAAGGTATCCTCGACAATATTGCATCTAGATCCACAAACTTTATGACTTTTCCTCTTTAGTTACAGTGACAGAAATATTTTTCCAGAAAGAGGCAACAAGTACACAAAAACAGTTGCACAGAAACAACGTGCTATCGAAATTAGTGATGACTTCTACACACTTATCAAACTCCTTCAAAATAAACTTCTGCATTGAAAATTGAAAGGAGACACAGTAATTGAGGACAGTCAACGATACGAAGATCCAAAACTTGTTACAGAACTATTTGGTAAACCATTTGTCGCCTAAGCAACTAACTAAAATCCTTTAAATAAACCAGAGCTCACCTCATTACCCTCCTGTGAAATTATCAATGTAAACTCCAGCTTACAGAATATTTCTAATTCAAAAAGCACACTGAAACACTCCTACGCAGAAGGATCTGATGGCATTCCAGTAAGCATGCTAAAAAAATGGAGGTTATAATCTGTGTGGCATACTTCTTAAACTACTTGTGAGACCACTCTCTACAGCGTGCTACCATTGAACTTGAAAAACTGCACACCCCATTCCCAAAATGAAAACAGGACCTGAAGCGAATGTTGAAAATGACGGACCTCTAAACATAACCTTAGTGGTTTCTAGAGTGATGGAAAATATAGTTAAGTCGGCGGTAGTTCAACATCTACTTACTAGTAATCCCATCTCAACCTCCTAGCATGAGTTTCTGATGTCTAGGTTATACGACACATTCCTAAAAGACTACCCGTATGACATAAAACCGAAACAAGATAACGGATTCCTTGTGTCTGTCTTATTAATAAACTTTAAGAGTTCTTTTGATAAAATTCCATGCAAAAGGCTTCTCGTGAAATTAAATTTCTCCGAAATCAGTGATCCACTATATTCATGGTTTGTTGTATTATTAACAGAACGCGAATAAATGGCAAAGTACAACGATCCCCTCTCATCACCGGAACCAATAACTAGTGAAGTTATCCAGGGAAGTGCATTAGGTCCACCCTTGTTTCTCATGTATATATGTAACATCATTAAAATAGGGAGATTTCACGTATACGCTGATGACCTCAAAATAGTACACAGCTCTAAGCCTGAAGCTCTGAGTGAAAGTGTATCGCAAATTTGAAGTGACCTCAACAACCTGACTATCTGGAGCTAAAGATGGCAATTACCCTTACCACAACAAGTGCAAGATCATGCATTTTTGGAAAACATCCCTATGAACTACAATTCTACCTTAATAAAAGTAGTGTTCGAACACTGAAATCAGTACACAATCTAGGTGTTATTTACATAGGAAGCCAAAAATTTAAAGAACATGCCTAAATTATAACTTCTAAATCTAGATGGCTAATCGGTTTCATAATAAAAGAAATTCTTCAAAACAGAAACTAAGCGCACTGCTTACAAAATATGTATACGACCCTCCCTTGAATATTGCTCTTTTATCTTTTCGAACATGAATACAACAGACAAGATGAGAGTAGATGTCAAAAGACGCTTCACACGCCAAAGGTGAGGATGCGGCTAGACTCTTGGATATACTGACAGATGTAAGCACCTCTCTTTAAAACAGTTATGGCACTATAGGTTAAGTAACAACCTAATATTTCCCTACAAAGCAATATATGGGCTCACTTCTAGCCTCCTGCCCAACCATAATCCATGGGACAGTCTACAGACTCAGAAACAAAGCGTATATTCTACTAACTGTGGAATACCATAAGACAATGCGTTGTAAGTATTTAACAGTTTATTGCGAGACGGGCTGTCGATACCTATCCGTAACTGTGACACTAGCACTGAGTTCAAAAGACTAAAAACCCTGTTTTTAGACTTTAAAGAGCTTCATCAACTATTCCCAGATCTCACAATCAACGATGAGACACTTTATTCTGGACCACCTAATTCCAAACCGATCATGCATATATCGGGCTCCTATTGTGTGTGCAACCAAATCATAATGGTTTCCATTCTCCCATTATTCATTCATTATTGGTCATGCCTTTATGCTCCTACCATCCACATGAAATTCCTAATCCCTCTTATATTTAAAGTCACATTGCTTTTCGTATGAAGTGCCATGTCTCTTCTTACTTTTTCAAGTGGACAGATAACTCATTAACTCTATGGATGGTGGTCAGCTATGGCTTGTCATATTGACTCTTGATATCTCAAATTATTCACCCTCATGATGTGCCATCGAGAACACGAATGGAACATGTGACTTAGTCCAGCGCCATTATTAACACCTCAGGTATGTCAGGAGGACATAAGGTCGCGCCTTCTAAAGCATTCATCGCTGGCCATCAGTCGCACGTCACAGTGCAACCTCCATAAAGCGCTCCAACTCTTATGTTGACATCCCCAGTTTTACTAACATTATTTTCATTCATATGTGAGACGCGTTATCCCCCTGAATCGATGAACAATGTGCTTTATAACACATCGACCCTACTGATTAACTTATAACAGTAAGACCTGCATCGTCTATAACAATTTGATTTTTCCTGTAAACTGGCGTTTTCATGTACGATATTGTTACTTGAAAAAAATATATGCAACCAATATCATTCCTTTGGACGGGCTGTCAACAGATTTGGGTTCAGAACCCGTTGGCAACCCTCGTGCTATTGATAGAAGAAACCAGACAAGTAGCGAATATGTCTTTATTTAATAATAATAATAATTTATTCTCAAATAGCAGTTTGTTACATGAGGCATGCCAGTTTACAGGCACGATCAAACTGTTACAAATGATACAATATCTACTGCAGTAAATTACTTAGCTGGGTTGATAATTTATGAGATATGAATGTAGATGGTTTTAATCAGCATCACAGTTGGCGCGCTTCATGAAAGTTGTGTTGCGAATGTGCAACTGAAGGTCAATGATAAGTCCACTGAAGGTGGGAGCTTCTAAAAGTCGCAACCTTATATCCCTTTGAAATATCGAAGGCTTTGAGGATGGTGCAGGATAAAATCTTTCGTTCCATATCACAGGGGGCCTGAGAGAGGGAGCAAGTAAAAGAAAACACGAGAGGCACAGTAGTCAATATTCATGAAGGAATGTTTAAGGTATGATTACTCAGTCTTATTTTCTTTTATTAAGGTATTTG